AATTCCTCTGAATAGGAGTGATCAACCCCAACTCCCTGTCACTGACAATGACTGTAGGATGTACATCAGGCCCTATCAGCAGTCTCAACCGCTGTAGGACCCAATCATAGCTGTACTCGGTCTCGTCCTTGATAATTGCATAAGCAATTAAGAAATTCTTGTGGCACGGCGTCATTCCAACCATCTCAACCAACGGCATGTGGTACCTGTGCAAATGAAAGCAGCAACAAGAAAAAACATAGAATCAAAAAACTTAGTCAAACATACTATTTTAAGATTCACATTATATTACTATTTATAACGTAATGTAACATACCTGTTGGTTTTGTACGTGGAATCTATACCGACATACCAGTAATATGTCCGGAATAGACTGGCTGCTTCTGGATGCGACATGAACACACGTGTCAACTCCTGTGTGTCCGGGTCAACATCTGTGTAAACTATGTAGTTGCTGCCCCTAGCCAAATGCAGAAGCTGGCCAACAATATCTCTACCCTCCAGACGGTCTTTTCGCAATTGACCTCTATAGTTATACACTTGTCGGCAAGTAGCGTTGTCCACTGGGTTTTTCTCCTGAATTGCAGCCAATATTATTCTCGGTCTTGCCTGAGCATCAGTTATATCACGGACAATCTCTTTGGATGAATCGCTGAGTCGGCTCATCTGTCGATGACCCTCGGGATGCAAAGCCAAAGCATGATTATGAAATCCCTTCTCGTCTTCTAAAGGAAGGCAGATACTCCATTTTTGGAATTTGCTTCAAATTTGACTTTTATCAGAAAAGGGCAGCCAGTAAATTTAGTCTTCGAACGTCTCAAAACAGCATTCACAAGATTTCCTAGTTTTCCTGCCTTGCCTCTGTAACGTTCCCCTCGATGACACCTCAACGTCCGAACCATTCCATCTTTTTCGTGTCTCGAGATGACCAATTCGAAATTCCATATCAATGCAATGTCCTTTGCCCATTCAATAGCTTCCTCATGACTATCAAATAGCTCATTTGTAGCAAAACAAGATCGGTAATCTTCACCGTCTCCTCCAAAATCTTCGAGTGGCACCTGCAATATGTTACGATGTATGTTAATAATGTTAAAAAATTATGAATTATAACTTCTCTCAAATAATAATAGTAATTTGTAATTTATTATATAATAAATTCTAACTTCTAACGTTATATCAATAAATTTTACGTTATAAGATAATACATTCATATGTATTAATAATTTATACTAATATAAAGTTTTCCTATTACATAATTTTATACTATTAATTTAATACTAAATACTAATATTATTTTTTATAAATACTTTCTATTAGTATATACTAAAAAAATTAATATATTAGTATATAATTTTTTTTATTATATTACTAATAGAATTTTTAATATATATTATTATATTAATATATAATAATATATATTATATTAATATATAATAATATATATTAAAAATTCTATTA